TCTTAGGTTGACGGCTTTATTTCCAGATTGATATTAGTCTTCTTTCCTAGTCAAAATAAGGAGACTGTCTAAAAGAATGTATGTCTAAATAATTGAAAATGTCTTGATTGTGGATGAGATGAAGGCAACCATTTGTGTTGGTTGCTATGGCTACAATTAAATTATTATTTTATTTTTTTATTTAATGTTGGCGTCTAAGAATAAGCCACAAACATTTCAATAACAGACCTTCATTCTTTCCTTATTATCATCGAATTCCCAAGTGGTAAAATATTTTTCTAAAAGATAAATCGTGGGTTGATAAGAATTAATATTTGTCTTTTTGGTACAGTATTTGAGGGTGGGTGACTACGGTTACTGAAATCCTCAGGATATTTCTATTGCATAAGTTTATTTGCAGTAATTTGGTTTTAATATTTAGTTAAGTATGTGTCTTAATATGTGTTTTATTTAATATTTAGTGGTCACTTTCGAAAAAAGTATGTATCTACAAATTTTGGGAAATAAATTTTATCGCGTCCTGCATGACTATTGGCTTTTATTTTAACAACAAAGCGAAGCTCCTCCTACAATTTGTATAGTATAAGTCATAATCTTAAATGTCGTTTTTACTCAATACCTAATGCACAAAACATTGCTTTGTACCTACTGACAAAAGGCGACCTATTAATCTCAAGATACTATGAATGCCTAGCTAATGTCCCACTAGGCAAAATTAACTTATTAGTTATTGATATTGTGGTAGATAACTAGTCGAATTAATTCTAATATCAACTAGACAACTGAGATTTCGAACCTATTGGTTCTCATCAGTACGCCAACAAATTATGTATGTATCGCATGTACAGTACAAGAATAGTTATAGTTGCAGTAATAATTTAAGTAGGTAGATTCTTTGATGCAGATACCTTCTCATTCATAATGAACACGAGTAACAAAAACGAACCACTTCGAGGGAACATAGGACTCACAAGAATAGAAGATGAACATTTTTTTTAATTTTTTTCAGAGAGTAAAAATTCTGTTAAAAAGAATCAAGTTCCGCCACTGGATTACGTAATTTTCATTGAGGGTTGCAAATTACGCATCACATCTCATAAACATCTTATCTGCCTCGACTATTATAGTAAATAGACTATTAATGCATTTTTTTAAGGAGGTAAGTGGATTTTATCGTAGAAGTGGAAGTTGCTATGGACAACGGAAGGTAACTGAGGTAACTTACCTCTCTAGGAAAAAAACGATTTCTAGTTGTAAATGCATATTTTACACAAATAAATATAAATATTTGATGAACATTACATTTTGTTAATTATTAAAAATGAATATTTCTAGTCATTGTACAGTTAGTAACATTTATAAAATCTGGATAATTATTCCCCTCGTGTTTACTAATTGTCACATTTTTTTTCAAAACGATTTGACCGCACCATTTCAGTCAGCGGAGGCTCAATATTATCTGACTGATCCATTAAAGCAGCATGATGCGACGTACTACTAGAACCTGGAGTTGAGGTGTTATTGTAAAGTAAAAAAAATATCATCAACATAATTTTCTGCAATTATGGCTTATTTCCACCCACTTGGTCTCTTGATTACTAATACATCAACTCCTGTATTAGCCAGTAACGTTGCCGATGTTCTTCGGAATGAACGTCATATGGCCTGTATATGTTTCAGGATGTTCTAGTTTAAAAAACTGTGCAATCTTATTCGGAATCATGGAAATGGTATTCTTGCATGGCTGGTTGTAATATCTACCTGTTTGATAGAGCATAAAAAAGCTAATCTTGATATATTTCTTGAGAATTTCTAGGTGAGAAACAGAACCCAGACGAGAAGTAATTCTAAACATACGTGACATACCATTTTTAGAATCTGGAATTGTAACTACAAAATTGTCATCGAAATTTTTGAAATTGACCTTGTCCAAAGTAAGTTTGGATAACTTATCAGAACGGCATGCTCCTGCAATGCCTAAGACCGCCACTACCTCTATTAGCAAATATGTGTTATCGGGTGCCTGAACGAGAAAATCGTTGACTTGTTCTCTTGTAAAAACGTTTGATTTTTTAGGTGTATAGCCGTCATTCTTACATTTTTTCTTTCAAAAATGCTCTCAATTTTGGGTATTTTGATATATCCACGTTCTCCTCTATGAAAATAGTTGATTCATAGGTAGGACAACCGACGAACGATCCAGCTGTTATAATGTCATATACTCCCGACAAGAAACAACTACAACTATTACGTGTAGTTGTTTCTTGCAACACTGGTTAGAATTGTTTTCGCCTTCTAGGCGACAGTCGTGCAACAAAGTACCTGGCAAATTTTAGCAGGTCGCTTCCACCGTAGTAGCCATTTCAATGGCATAGTGGAAGTCGGCACGACAGACAAATGGAGCCATTGTGCTTCGTGTACTTTTATATGCTCGTTCGTAGCGCAGTTTCAACTTCTCGGGCAATAAAAATTCGCAGGTAGCATTTGTTGCACTTTCTATTTGAAAATCACTCATTTAGAAATAATAATCCAAAACCAGCAAAATTGCATCTTTTATGTAGCTTTGTTTATAGACACCTTAGAAACGACAAAGTCCAAACAACCAAGTCAGTTTTGCAAGATTCGAATAATGTTAAAATGAATTGATAGAAATGTCAAAAAATAAAAGCTGATCATTATTTCATGAACCATAAAGAACTGTGGGAGCAGAGATAAAATATTTTACACCATGCAGCAGTTAAGTATAATTTACCAGTCACGGACCCTATTGCCAGCCCTCGCTCCGCTCAGGCGCAAAATCGTCCTCGACTGGTAAATAATACTTACCTTCTTTATGGTGTAAATATCTATTAAGTTTTGCGAAAATCTCCTTCTATCTTCTCAACAATTTTATTTTTATGAATTTTATGTGTCCTCGAATTCCATTAGTTCATTTTTGTTAAATCCTGTATAAGAATAAGTCTTACCGAAACCGTGACAACTAGACAAGATTTGTGCGAGATGAAAGTGCATGAAAAAAATTTTTTACGTATTACAGAACTACTCAAAGAAGTACGGGTAATGAAATAACAGACCAAAAATTATACTTTTAATTCTTATTCTTTAAACATAGCGACGCCTTTCGAGCCACATACATAATTTTAAAGTTTCAAAGCATCGCTGGCAATCAACATTAATTTCTCCATATTTATGTGTGACTCATATGGAGAACTAAAAACTAATAATTTTTCTTTAATGGCGAGCATTGCAATATCCAAAATGAAGCGATAGTAAGCGAAACTGGAAATTTTGTAATTGGAACTCCGTCCCTTGCCAGCTTCCAGCGCGCACCGATGCAGTCCGTGGGTTCCCATCTATCATGCAGAGTGTTTTAATTAGGGCCGCCATGAATTCAGATAGGAGTATGTATAAATATTCATAAATTATTGTAACCCATTACGCTTCTTCCGAATGGATTAATTTACTTTTCCTTCAGGATGTTTCAAAATTTATGTGTGCGAACATGTTTTAAACTCCATTTTTAATCATTTCCGGCCTCTGGTGAGAACTGGACCGGAAGAGTTAAATAAACACAAACATTGGAATTTTCATGTATCAAAGTAGACATCTTCAGGGCGGTCTTGGATGGGTAAGCTTATGCTGGTTAAACATATAAATATGAACTTACTTGAGCTTGGGAAGATATTAAAAAAATAAATATAAAGTGTAGAGCGACGTTAATATATACAAGGTGGTCCGTACTGAATGGGTGATTTATTTTTGTATTTATTTAAAATACTCTGCCCTGACAGATCATTCCAATAAGGGCGTCCTAAAACACAAAGCTAAAAGTTGGGGATTGTTACGTTATATCCCTATTTGTATTAAGTAAATATACATACACAGAGCTCGTAAAGTTTGGAATAAATTCGAAAAATCGTTATTGAAGGGTTTTGACAGGAAATCCTCGGACACGTCAACTTTAGTTTATAAAATGTCACTTTTTTCAGCCATCGACTTTTATTTTGTTTCGTTTGTTTTTGATGTATGACGTCATCGGCAATTTTTTTAAATGGCAGCCCATATTTTTTTCCACGGATTTCGATAGAGCACATTTTTCTGAGTACGAATATGTCAAAAACG